CCCCCCCCCCCCGGCAAGGATCGATTTCTTAACAAAAAACAACAAATACAAAAACTTTGACATAGTGCTAATCCTGTCCCAAGCCCAATGTGCAATGGTTTCTGTGAGAAAGCGTCATGTTTTACCCTGAGAATAGCACATGCCATGCCATTCTGGAAACAAATTCCGTCATGAAAAGGGTAAACGCAGACCTATTCCTATGGCTTTGCTATAGACGTAAGTTTCTAAAATCGAGGTGTTTTCAAAAGATTTGCTGTGAAACTGAGTGTTGTGAATGAACCTTTGATATCGTGTGTACATTTTGCCAATGCATAAGGCAAGATGAAAGCAAGATGGTTCAAGGTTGAAATACGACCATGCACAATAATGACATTAATATTCATACTCATATGATATTAATGATATACTGGTATTTTCTTTGGGTGTTCGTAAAAGTAAAATGTAAATATTCAACTACACGAAGATTGTTGAAATACAATAGGATATCACTTAGTATTCAAAATGTTTCTGTTATACATGTTACATACACTATACATGCGCTTTCAGAAACTTTTAGTTTATTTTCTAATGTCTAAATGTCTTATTACTATATTTACCGGTATTTTCAAAGACAAAAGCCCGCACAACTTGTTGAAACACTATATATATATATATATATATATATATATATATATATAATTTAATACAATATTAAAAAAAATATGTTTAAATTGTTTAATTTGCTACAAAATATTTTAAAAGGAGGAACAAAAACTCGATCCCCTACTGGGAATTGATCTCGTAATATATTAACGCCAAGCGTCCACTCTACCACTTGACCACACAAGATCTACTACTACTTAAAACAAGACCAATGGTACATTTTTGCCGCGGTGTACCCAGGCCAAAGCCCACGATTTCGCTAGATACACCGCCGCGGTTTACGTAGGCCAAAGCCGATGGTTTCGCTAGGTACACCGCCGCGGTGTACGCATCCACTTCGAAAGATAAAACAACCAATCGGTAGCTTCTATATTGGAGGCGTGTCATTCACTGACTTACTTTTTTTAATATATAGCCTATATATATATATATATATATATATATATATATATATATATATATATATATATATATATATATTGGTGTACGCACCCACTTCGAAAGATAAAACAACCAATCGGTAGCTTCTATATTGGAGGCGTGTCATTCACTGACTTACTTTTTTTAATATATAGCATATATATATATATATATATATATATATATATATATATATATATATATATATCGTGTGTGCTCTTAGCAGACCCAAGTATCTGAAGTATTCAGTACATGATTTAAAAAAAGTATAACTTCACGTTTCCGTGTAAGTTACGTTGCATGAAGTTGAAGCAGTTAGCTCCTGAATTTCTTTAAAAAGGTTTCAGTTTCTGTTGTCACGACGCACCTGTAACTGTAAGTATTTAACTTAACTATTACATTAATGACATTAACTAAATAAAGTCTAGTAAAGTCCAAAGACGAAAGTTAAATAAGTCCGATACGGTCGATTGTCAGTCATTAATACAACTACAAACTTACGGCCAATTTACGCCTAAATTTGGACTATTTAGTTCCTAGCAACCTAGACCTAGGACTAAGTTGACTATGACTGAGTATGATCAGTGGGGAGTAGCCCTACTGCCACTGCTGCTTGTACAATGTCAATTAAGTAGCCTACATACTACATATTTAATACTACTACTGAGAAGTAGTAGATAAGTAAGTAGTACTTTAACTTTAAATTTAAAATGTAAATTTAAAGTAGTCAGTATAGACAGACCTTATTTAAATTAAAGTCTAAGGACAATGACAAGGACCTTAAAATGTAAACTTAATTTAAGGTTTTACTTAGACTTAGACTGAGGACAGGCCTTATGCCTTATACTTATAGCCTTATTATAATTAATAAATTTAGTAATTCTAAGTAATTATTAGCTACTGTTGATACTTATTCTGGTCAATTTAAAAATCCGTGCCAAAATATAAGTTTGATCTCTTAGTCTTAGTCAAACTTGACTTAATCTTATTTTTGATAATTTATAGGTACCTCACTTTAAAAAATATAAATTATTTTTAATTTTAATTGCTGAAGAAATGGCGAATATTTCAGGGATTACCTTATAATTTATAAATAACCAGAAAATATTATATGAAAATTAATTAAAATAAAAAAATAAAACTGCAATAATTTTGGTTAAATTTGTGAATGTTAGAACTAAGGGCGAGTTATTCTATGAGTCTGATCTTCTTTTAATTACTTTAAATTCTTCATTATTTTGAAGTTTACAAAGCAGTTTTAAAAACACAAAAGAGCTGGAGGCCATGTATTCGCCCTTGTCATAAGTGAAAGAAATTATGCATTTAGACCTGTGGTGTATCCAGAGTTCGTGCCGCCCAGGCCCAGGGCTGTTAAAGCTTTTTGCCTTCCACGAAAAAACTGCTGTTGACAGAAAATGCATTCCCTCAATATAAAGAAAAAAAAGAGCCACCCAGGGCAGGCTACCCTCCTCCGCACTCCCTTCCTACACCACTGATTCAGACCCATTGTTTTGCTTTTTAAATTTAAATATTTAATCCAAGATTTTTTTTCCCCAACTGCTACTAGGCATAATCCCTACTTTTTTGCTCTGTCAAAATGTTTATTTTCATTGCATCTTTTGAAATTTAATGAATCTGATGTGAAAAAATTCAAATAATATTTTCAAATGTTAACTTTTCTGCAACTTTAGCTTGATTTTTAAAATTAACTTCTTGTTTTATGATAATCAGATCCATTTTTAGTTAAAGCTGTGGGAAAACCTTGCACTTATTAATTTCCAGAGGGGTAGGGATGTAAATTTATGTGAAAGCTCTTCTTTTTTTAGCACTTGCATTTGCAATGATATAATTAATTTGCCTAAGTAAGCATTTGCACTCAATGCCTGTATAAAAACCACTTCAGTCTCGTTCATCAATCAGTAAGCTGTCAATTTTACTAAATGATTTGACATGCCTCACATACATTACAGTCCTGACCTAGATCAGCCTCAGTTATTTTCCACTGCTCATAAACTTATAGTTTATACATTGGCTGTCAATTCTTTAGCAACTTTTAAGTTATAGAGTTTATAGTTTAAGTCAAGAATGAAGTAATTAAAATATTTCAGGATCCTTCCAACCTGTGTTTAATGAAAATAATTTATGTTACAGGACTGTACTTATTTGATTATATGACATTGCAAACTGGAATTGATTTAAACTACAAACAATGACAGAAAAGAAACCCACCTGTCCCGTTATAGTAGGGGATTTGAAAACCGAAGGTTTGACTACTAGTTCATTCAGGCAATGGAGGCGACCAGACTTACCCAGCAAATGTACTTTCACACTGGACACACCGCTAGAAAAATCTCCTCATAGACATGTTGGCTTGTAAGTCATTTTTATTATACTTATTTTTTTTGTAAAGAAGGCATAATTTTGTTTCCTTTAGCTTAAATGTAAAAAATTGTGTCTCCACATTACTGAATCTGTAAAGTCATTTTTTTAAGACAATAAAATCAATTTATTGCTGTAGTTCAGGAAATAATAAAACGTTTTGATTATCCATAAACAAATTCAATTTTCTGTTCTTCTCATGTAAATTTCTAATTTAATCAGTTACTTTGTAATTCCCTCCTTTATTTTTTACATAAACGTAGCTTTTCTGATCATCTCTCAAGGGAGGCAAAAGTGAAAACACTTGTCCTCCTCAATGATGAAGAGCAATTTTATGAAAGAAAAAAATTGTATTACCAAACCCTTCCATAAATGTTTTATAATTAACACTTCCTGTGCTTAGGTGAATTACCTTTATCTATTTTTATACTTAACCACGACCTTTTTTATTTTTAAAAAATTTCATCTGCCTTATCTGCTTAGGAAGGTTCTTAGCCGAAATGTTCACACTGTCCTGTTTCTTAATTCAAGCTTCCACATACCTTGTCCTACTATTTGCTTCACACAGCTTGAATGCAGTCCTTCATTTATTATGATTTATTCAACAGACAACCACGTCCAAAAATACTACCAAACATTTTGTACAACATAGGCAACACACCTCTGGTTAGACTCAACAACATTCCTGCCAAAGACGGTTTAGAGTGTGAAGTTTGTGAGTATAAACGTTTTTTATCAAATGTTAATTTGGAAAATTATTTTGGACTACAATGTAACCCATGGGAGGGCAACCTGCGGCCTGCTGAAACAGTTAATGTGGCCCTGCAAGACCTTCTAAGAACTGGATTAATGTTTTCATGAAATATGAATGATTATCCGTAAAAGCCTTTGAAAATTTATAATCACAGTGTAAAATTGTCAAACTAATAATAATCATCACTGCAAATTTGAACATTATCATCCCACTGCTTATTTGCAAACTGAACTTGAAATGAATTTTCTAAGCCCATAATGATGTACCGGTACATACAAAATTAGCGTGCGTGCCACCAAAAAATATTTTTTTTATGTTGCTGGCCAAAGTAAAAAATAATCTCCATGCATTCCTCTGCACAAAAATGCTGCTTACCCCTGATATAACCCATTGAGCAATCAAAATTACCTCCCCTAAACTAATGCATTCTCATTTTCATTATTCCCCAAATGCCTAGCTCTCAACTCAACTACTCCCCAAACGCCTACCAGGTGAAAGGGGGAAGGCATTGGTAACTTATGTATGTATATTATATATATATATATATATATATATATATATATATATATATATATATATATATATATATATATATATAAAACATTTAATTAAATTAGCCTTGATTTATTGTTATCAGGTGGGCATGTTTATCATAAGTATCATCTTTCAGAAGCAGCATGAGTTGGTAATCCTTTGTGCAAAACTTTAAATGATAGCCTTAATAGAATAGCTGGGCTTAACATCTTTATATTAAAACCAGTCCCTATAGAATTTAGAATAGTATGGCATATCATATTAAAACCATTCCCCATAGAATAGTCTGGCCTAGTAAATGATTATCCTAACTAAAATTGCATGACATAACTCCAGATGGAGCTTATTTTAACTCCTTGGCATGGTACTGTAAAATTTCAGCTACCACTCCATAATTAGCATATGTCAGAAAGGTATCCATATTCTCCTTTTGCCAAAGGAGTACTACTATGAATCTTCTTCTTCTTATGCCTTCTTACACCATCTGGGGCATAGGCCGTCCACAAGAATTTTCCATTCATCATGGCCCCGTGCTTTCCTTTCCAGTCGCTTCCAGGTGTACCCCATATTTTGTGTGTCTGCCTCTAGCTCGCGTGGCCATGTATTCTTTGGCCCTTCTCTCTTTCTTTTTCCCTGTGGATTCCATGCTAGAGACTATCTGGTGATGCTATCTGGTGAATCTACTAATTCCATATTATATTTACACAACATGGTTGGCCCATTTCTGATTGGTCACATGGCTATGAAAGTTTTAGTGAGGTAATTCTTGGCCAATGTAAATTTAATTACCTGTACATGAAAATTAGAAAGCATTAAAAAATATAACCATTATTTAACAGATTGATCTCACCCTTCTAATTTAAAGAGCTTCATAATTGCAATAGTCCGTCTCTCAATCTTTAGTCATTATGGCATTTCTCTGCCAAATGTTTTGTTTTTTTTAAAGTCGAACGTGCATTATTTTCAGTGGCAAAATGTGAGTTCTTCAATGCTGGGGGATCAGTAAAGGACAGAATAGGATTCAGGATGGTGGAGGATGCTGAAAAGAGTGGTGAAATAAAACCTGGGGATGTCCTCATTGAGCCAACCTCTGGAAATACAGGTAAATGTGTGGTCATTCCCGTTTTTCATGCTAAGTAAAAAGATTCAGCTCTGGCATATAGTTTATTGGAGATAAAATTCAATATCCAAGAAGGATGTTGGAGAGCCTGGCAAAATTAAATGAAGTATAGAATCGTTAGAAAATATTTAAGACTTCTTAACTCTTTAAGGTACGGTATCAATCATTTTCTGCTGTGATTTTCAATACATTTATGAGTTAACTTCTTTATTGGTTTACCCTTTCTTTAACACATCCAGTGTGCCAACTTCTTTAATAGTTAACCTTTCCTTCATTGGACAGATTTTCATTATATTATGTTCAGAAATTTTTGTTATTTTTACATTTAAACCTTCGTAAGAGTTACATGTTATAGGTTTCAGTTTTGGAAACATTTGATTACTTAATGTCTTTATCTTATTTTACACACAAAAAAAATTTGTAAATCTTGGTTTGGTTTCTTACAGACATGCTTTGAATGACACCCCCCCCCCCCCTTTTTTTTTTTTTGTTTTATTTTTTTTATTTTGTTCTCTCTTCTTTTTTTTTTTTTTACTTGGTAGCCTGGCTCCCATTGTGAGGTTTTTTTTTTTCTAAATGACAATAAAATGTTATTTCCTCCAGGTATTGGCCTTGCCCTGGCTGCTGCTGTCAAGGGTTACAGGTGTATCATTGTGATGCCTGAGAAGATGAGCATGGAAAAGGTGGGTTGGACTCACCTTGACTGTTTGTTTATTTTATATATTATATAGATGAACATCTCTGACATTACTGTAGGCAATGATGTTGTTTTACGTACAGGACACATGTCTGGCACACAATCCAAAAGAATAATCTCACATTTGGTCTTATCTAACACCCCCCCCCCCCCCCCCCCCCCCCCCCCCCCCCCCCCCCCCCCCTGCCCTTTGCCCCATCCCTGCTCCCAGGTGGATGTGCTCAGTGCACTTGGGGCAGAGATTGTCAGGACCCCTACAAGTGCGTCTTTCGACTCCCCCGAATCACACATTGGTGTGGCCAAACGGTTGATGGAGGAGATACCAAATTCTCATATACTTGATCAGGTGAGTTAGAAATTGTTAAAAAGTAGTATGACTATAAAGTTAGAGCTTTGTTGGCAGTCAAAGGATTATCACTAAAGAAGGTCTCTTTTTAAATGTTCCTTAATGTTGTGTTGTATGTTTATCCAAGTGTTTGATATGCACATTTAACAAACAATCTTAATTTAGTTGGGTGTTAGAAGTGAAGAGCCAATAGCCAAAATGAACGGAGAAGTGTTTGTGGAGTTATTTTTTAAAAGTGAAACTTGAAACTTAAAATGCTTTCACTACTTAAGGTTGACGAGAAACTGAATAAAAATTTTTTTAAATTTATCAGATAATTATTAAAGTAACTGGTGTCAAGACTTGATTGGTATATCCAGGCAGGAGCTATGTCCACTTCTTCCTAGTTGTAATTTCCACTTAGTTCAACACAAGACGAGGCTGATTTTCCTACATTTATATTTCAAGAACTTTAAGAAATTCGGCTGTAAGAAAATATACCAATATTGCATTTAACTAATTCTTTTTAATCATTCAGAGCGGATGTTTAGAGCCTTAAATGCCTTTTCATCAAAACACCTCTTGGAAAAAAAATTATTTATTTTTTCCCAGTACCGTAACGCAAGCAATCCAGTCGCTCACTTTGATGCTACAGCTGAAGAAATTTTGGATGCCTGTGATGGTAAGAATTTTCTTGAATGTGGTGATTTCTGGATCCTGTTGTGCTGGCCGATGCACATAGATCTCAGGTCTGTTCCCTCAGCTTGGTTGCGTAATGGAGCAATAGAGGGGAAGTTGTTGATATAATGGACATAAATTTTCACCCACTGAAACGTTTGTTCTGTTCAACTTGATGAAAACTTTGATTTCATTTTCACAGCATTTTGTTTATCTTTGTGTCCTGTTCACTGATGCAGGGTCACTGCTGCTCTGTCATTTTATTTAATACATGTAAAGCAAATAGTTTTTTTCTATTTTGTCTTAACTGGAATGTCATGCCCAAATTTTCTCCAAACTTGTTAATGATGTTTTTTTCCAAATGCTGTCAGGTAAATTGGACATGATAGTGCTGTCTGCTGGAACTGGGGGGACATTGACGGGCATCTCTCGTAAAATTAAGTCAAAATGTCCAGATTGCAAGGTCAGTAGACAGTTAACATAAATTCACTCAAGAGAAATTTAACAAGTTTTAAACATTTCTACAAATATTTTTTAATTTTGTCAGGGGGAGTGCATATTTCTAACAATTTCTTTATTCTTCTCACTAAGATCTGGCAGATACTTCTTCTGTATTTTGAGCACCCATGATCAATGTATTTGTTTGTAGGAATTTTCTTTCTACTTATCTACAGTTTTTAATAATTGTAAGCAGACAATTTAAAAAAAAGATTAGCAGCTCAAACATTATGTTTTGAATTTAAAAACTCCAGGTTGTTGGAGTTGATCCAGAAGGTTCCATCCTGGCTCAGCCAGATTCTCTGAATAAAAGTGACATCTCATTCTATGAAGTGGAAGGCATTGGCTATGATTTTATTCCAACTGTTCTGTCCAGAGAGGTTAGTGTTTTCAGCTGTTTATGTATGGTGTAACTACATAAGATGCATGCCAATGTTAACATATAGAAATTTTTCTATCAATCAAAAGTGCAATCTTTGTTTAACTGTGTCACAAGGACTCTATTGAAATCCTTTTTATGCACATGTAATACTAACAGAGCAATAAAAACTAGATAACTAAGTGATGTGTTTGCTATTTCATCTCAAACAGATGTTCTAAGAGATTGTCTAAGAGATGTTCTTAAATATACACATTTTTCTTTGGGCTTTGTAAAAAAAAATTATTATTTTTTGGTTATTTTAAAAATTTCTTTAAAACTTGAATGAATCAGAGATGTGTTTTTCCCTCTGAAATATTTAGACATTGTTGATGTAGTAGGCATAAATATATTTCCTGATTAAAATATCAGCGTTCAAAGAGCTTTACATTTATAATTTGAGGATTAATGAGAGGATTGGGAAAAGTCAAAAGTCGGCACATTAAAAAAAGCACCAAGTTTATTGATCAGCTTTTTCATGTGTTTTTTGTTGCTGTTGTTACTATAGATGTAACATTAAAAATTCCCAGTATGTGGACAAGTGGTACAAGAGTGTGGACAAGGAATCATTCATCATGGCCAGGCGGTTAATACGGGAGGAGGGACTCTTGTGTGGTCAGTAACTTGCTGTCGGCAAAATGTTCATGTCTCATGCCTAAATGTAAGAATTGAAAATTTAAGTTGCAAGCTTTTAAACATTGCTGTGGCCTCGGGTAACCCTTGCCCTCATTTTTTGGATGAAGTGTGTTTCAACAACGGGGCGAAAAGCATTCAAATAAAACCCTCGTTTTAGGATGAAAAACAAGTGAAATATCTGTAGATTTGATTGATTGACACAAGTAACAAAAAACATGCTCAAAGATAGCAGATACATTTTTAACATTTAAAAAAATTAACAAAGAAAGTAGTTATCGTCTTGGCAATGACATTGTCAGATTGAATTTCAATTGAGAATACTGATTTATGTATGAGCTGATTAATTATGTAGTGAACACAACAAATTTCAAAATCTGAATTATAATTTTATTTATTTTGTTGAATAGGCCACTATTTATGCTTCACTTTGGGTCACAATGTCCCGAATATGGACAAAATACTGTGCAGCTTCTGGGATTAAACGTTTTTTATACTTTGCTTCTCTTACTACTCACACTTTTGAGCTTTGGTAACTATTTGCTGTTTGTTATTTGTTAGATTTGATTGTGATGCCCTGATTGTGTTCTTCAAATTTAACGTCAGTCCAAAGTCTGAATTATTCATCTGTACATTTTTAGAAAAAAAATTTGGAATTCAACTACTAAATTTAATGTTTTTTAACATTTTTTTATTAAGTTTCTCAATCTTTCTGCCCGCCAGGTGGTAGCAGTGGGTCCGCAATGTATTGTGCGGTCCAAGCCATCAAAGACTTTGGTCTGAAGAAGGGCCAACGCTGTGTGGTCATCCTGCCAGACTCCATCAGGAACTACATGTAAGCTACACAAATCTTTTGTTACATGTATTACCAGGATAGGATTAAATTTTAAAAAATGTTGTTTCTGATGGTTTGTTGTATGATCAGTACGTAACAAAAGGAATAATACCACTGATCCAATGAAATACAAAAAAGAGTGATGCCAAAGCCAGTGCTGATAAAAATTAACAATTCATTTATGCATTATCTCTTAGACACTTAAGTCAATTATTTAAAATTAGAGCTCATTTAACTTAAGTATTCGAATCCATACAATGATAACAGAAACACACAGTCACTCTTTATGAAGGGAGTCTCTAGATATCTGAAGGTACTTGCTACAGTCGACCATCTGATTGCCAAAGAATGCCTTCCAGAATTATTCTGAACTATCTTAGTGTTTTTGGGAGGATATCAGAAAGATAAACAAGTTCAGTGAGTTCACCTCAAAGGTCTGGAAAGAGGGGAGGCATCTCTTGGTGTCCATGACCAACCAACACTGGGGAAGTAACATGTCTCAATGTAAACAAAGGTCACAGCCAGGGGTTTTAATCATGTTTTTCAAATATGGCTTTAAATTATTTGTCCCCTGGCTTACTTGGTTAAAAAAAAAAAAAACTTACAACATTACAAGCATCCACAAATGCACTTACAAATGAATTGTTGACAGGTCCTTGTGGAAGTAACATGTATCAATGTAAACAAAGGTCACAGCCAGGGGTTTTAATCATGTTTTTAAAATATGGCTTTAAATTATTTGTCCCCTGGCTTACTTGGTTAAAAAAAAAAAAAACTTACAACATTACAAGCATCCACAAATGCACTTACAAATGAATTGTTGACAGGTCCAAGTTTCTGAGTGATGATTGGATGAGCCAGCGTGACTTCCTGGAATTGGAGCCCTTGGAGTCATCCAAAGACTGGTGGGTCTTAAAGATACAATTGTTTATTTACCTCTCTATTCTCTATGTCCATGCTTGACATGTGCACAGTTGCATTTTGAATTACCATTCAATGTGGGAATAAATGTATGGGGCTCTACTATCCCATTTGGTTTCTCTCCTTTGGTTCAAGATGTTAATTTAAAATTGAAATTTAAACTCGATGGGAAAGAAACAATGTTGTATTCAAACAACTTGGACTGGTTTATTTTATCTGGAAAGATTTTGCTCAAAAGATTGGAGTTATTTTTTTCGGCAGATATTTCCATCAAATGATCTAAAATAAATAAGTTTGTTAAAAAATTAATAAATTGATAAAAAATATGCATGTTACTTGACTGGCAAATATCTATAGAATTTTAGCATTTTATCATCAGATGGCAAACAAACCTGTAGTGATCAGCTGATACTTATAAAGTTTTAAAGCTCAGTGTCTCTGCCTCATGTTTTTTTGAAAAGATTTTCACGGACTTTTGTTACTAGGTTTAATACACAGAATTTGTTTTAATATAGATTTTTTGATTTACTTCATCATATTTAATTGTAGTTGTATAACATAAAAAAAATTAATCTTCTTATCATTCTTAGTACACAAAAATTTATCTTTGGATTTCAAATTATGCATTTAAAAAAACTCAGCATCCCTTGATAAAATATGGTCTTGATGCTTATCAGACCCTCCCTAATCATATCTCATCATATTTTTCACTCTGGTCCATGTTAGTTTTTCTTTTTACAATACATGTTCCCTCGCTAATTTTTTTGTCCCTTCTCATCTACTGAAACTAGCAGCAGTAGCTATTTGAGTTGGTAAGAGTTAAAAGTTTTAAAATATCTTTTAGATTTGTTTTAAATTAGAGGTGGAAAAATCTAATTAAATTTCATGTTTTAATGGCTTTAGACATTCTTGTAGTGTTAGGAGAGTTAGATCTCTTAACTGATATCTTCATTAGAGTAAATTCAATGGGAAATTGCTTTACCCTGTTCAGAACTACTATAAAATTAAATTGAATAAAAGTGGGAATTATGAGCACATTTGGGTTTTACTGCCCTAGGCAAAAAAATAAAAAAATTGAAGGGAGATAAATGCCTTAAAATTTTTAGTTGAATATCATTTAGTTGGTCAAGTAACACCGCTCACTTATTTAATATTGAAGGTACCTCTGTGATGCATGGGCTTTAGGACAAACTCTTTATTCTATAGTGCTGGTCATGGTATTGTTTACACCAGTCTTATAATTGAACAAGGAATACGGCCAGACTTTTAGAAAACTAGATTGACTATTAAAATGCTTGAGAGTGCTGCTGGTGGCTTGTCTGTAATATGGACTACTGCATGGCTTCTCATAAAACGTTTAAAGTAGAAATCTTTTAAAATAACTCTAATAGTGTCTGTACCATTTAAATGGCTTTCAGCTCAGCTCCACTGTTTATTCAGTCAAAACATTGGCCATAGTTTTATGAGTAGTCATCTTTTTTGTTTGTTTGTTACATATGAGAATTTATAAAATTTTACTTTTAGATAATATATCTTGGTTGTAGCATAGATTTCATACGTTAGTGACTTACATGAGGCTTTTCTTTTGTGCAATTGTGTTGCTACAATAAATTTAAGAAAATGATTTTTAATGTTTTCAACAAACCTGGAGACAATGTTTGAAAACACCATTTTGTGTGTTGTTATTTAAGTATTTGAATAAGTTATAAACAGTTAACTTTGCTATGGTGATTAACTGAGCAAAAAAAAAATCATCATAATTTGTCCCCTTGTTTTTATTTATAACTAAAAATCAATCTGACAAAAGTAATGAATCTTGGCACCACAATCAGCAGCTGTCAGCTTGACGGTAGAATTTTCACTTCACATCCTGACTTTTCCTCTGTTTTGTGCAATTTTTTAAAGAGGAGTTTGCCAGATAAGCTTACGGGAACACATAATCGATATATATATAACTTAATAGTACACATGAACACCTGGTAATAATCAATTTAATTTTTCATCGATCAAGTTTATGTTATCTAGTATACAGCAAGTGCTCGACTTACGACCTATGCAACTTACTATTCGACTTTACGACCACAATCACTAGCCATACTATATTAGATTTCAGATTTATTTATGCCTCAATTATCAGTGGCACGGCGTTGTCTGCAATCATTGGTGGTCTTGAACATTGAAAATTATGTTTTATAAAAACAATAAAAGAAATTTATGATATAATTTAACTTAATATATATATATATATATATATATATATATATATATATATATATATATTAAAAAAAATAAAAAATATATATAATATAATATAATATAATATATATATATATATATATATATATATATATATATATATATATATATATATATTGATTGTAATAAAATGAAAATCTACCCATTAATATTTAACACTTTTCTTGGCTTTTTAAACTAGTTGTTTTTTTGTGTGCATTTTTTCCTTTTGCTCAAAATTTAGAATGCTAATGCTCTGTCTGACTGCTTTTATGACAAACTTTAATTAACCAATATTTTAACCCAAAAATGTGAACAAATTTGGACCCATAACTTATGATGTCAAGTTATTTGAACAAATTTTTAAATTGAAGTTAAAGAATAAAGACAAACCATTTTTAATTTATTAATGAAAATCTCTATGATTGAGCTGTTACAAATGACAAAATTATTGTAGAAAATAAATGTTAATGGCATGAACTGTGATGGATTCATGTATTGTTAAATAGTTTTTTTAAAAATAGATTTTAAATTTTTAGCATAAGAATTAGATGTTTCTTAAAAGACATTTGACTGGATGATTGGGAAGCAAATCAAACGCAGTGGAGAAAACCTTTTTTATTCATGGGCAACCCATATAAATTTACAATCCTTACGATCCCAAAATGGTTTGTCCATCCAAAGTTGCTCATTCATGAACAAAGGGTTCTTTTTCTTTTCTTTTTTTTTCTGTCACATTGACAGTAAACCCTATGACATCGTCTCGGATCCTGTAATGTGTCAGGTCTAATTTACTCACTGCATTCCCATTCCTGTCAAGCCTGTCCTTGTTCTCATCACTGGAGTAGACAATCAAAACTACCGGCCATGACTTTCTCTTTTGTTACCTGACAGTTCTCAGGTCTAATTTACCCATCCTTTCAACCATTGGCCTGCCTTTGTGCAGCATGGAAGTGTCCTCACGCACTTATACTTTGAGAACAACCAAGTTTATGTATGTGTACATAAGTAAGGCCCTGAACCTAAATTGTGTCACATATTCTTTTGGACTATAAGAGAGGTCAGAGTTTCTTAGTGATTCACACTGAAAACATGTATGTCACATACACCCCAGTACCGACCTTATGTTCCTTGTTCATATGAATATCACATACTTCCATTACTGACCTTATGTTCCTTGTTTATTCCAGGTGGTGGAATCTTAAGGTTAGTGCCTTAAATCTGTTGGCCCCATTGACGGTCATGCCCAATGTCACTATCCAGGATACATTAGATCTGCTCAACAAGGAGGGATTTGACCAGGTCCCTGTGGTGGATGATTCAGGGTAGGTTTTGAATTAGTAAAAGATTAAGGGTAGGTTTTGAATTAGTACAGGATTAAGGGTAGGTTTTGAATTAGTACAGGATTCAGGGTAGGTTTTGAATTAGTACAGGATTAAGAGTAGATTTTGAATTAGTACAGGATTCACTGTTGATATAATTTGTTTAGGGTTCGTATTGTGACCTCTATATATAAAAAAAAAACTACTGATGGAGACTTAACATCAGGTTCACTTGTATCATTTCAGAGCTGTTATGGGTATGGTGACTGTCAGCAACATGATGTCACAGATTGTGAAGAATCGAGTCAAGGGCAGTGACCCTGTGTCAAAGGTCATGTACAAGCAGTTCAAACAGGTACTTTGAAAAAAAAAATGTTTTATTGAGACACCAAAAAAAATGTGATGAAGTTTGTTGTTTTTTGTTGTGCAACTAAATGTGTTACTTAATGTCTCCTAGTGCTGTGATCTTTCTAGATTATAAACGTCAGTTGAGTTCTGGCTTCATATGTTGCTTACTTATAATTAAACCTGGATCATATGTGTGTCCGGTGCAGTGACAGCATGGCCAAGGGGAACAAAATAAATTTGGAAAAAAAATGAACAGTTTTTTTTTTAAATGCCATTAATTTCCTTCTGTCAAGTGGACTGCCGGTAAGCATCCTTATTAAGATGAACTATGTTGAATTTATTCATGCTTATCAAATGTCCTGGTTTGACCGGGATCTTCCCGGTTTTGAAGCCCTGTTCAGGCGTCCCAGTGGGTTTGAAAATTGAATATTTTGTCATGGTTTCAATCTCAGTTCGGAAGTGATTAATATGTCTTATAAATGTTTGGATAGGCTTCATTCGTATCAATTGTTGAAATCAGAACTTTGTTGGTATCAGATGCCGTATTCATTGATGAAACTAAGGTTAATTATATGGGGAAAAACTACCAAGCTCTAAGCTTGTATTATGCAAGGTGTGTATATATATGAATAAATCCACATGTTATTGTGATGTCTCTTAGAATAAGAGGCCTGTGCCAAATATCGACCTGCAGTCTATGACCCCCCCACCATCCCGCTTTCCTCAAAAGATGGTAGAAGTAATAGCCTAGAATTTACAGCATTATATCGTGTAGGTATAAATCATTAACAAAAGTGCCGCCCAAAGGGTTGTTGCCCCCGGACCCTCTTAAGTACTGTCATATAATATAGGTCCTGGTCTCAAATTATGGGAAGCCTTGATATAGTAAACATGACAGGTGCTAGTGAGTTATCTCATCTCACTTTTGAGTATTTATTTTTTGATCCGCAGATTCATATGACCACATCCCTCGGCCAGCTGTCGCGGATGTTGGATACGGATCACTTTGTTCTAGTTGTTCATAACCAAAGGCAATGTAAGTCGAATACAAGAAAACTTATTTTGGCTTTTGTTCCTGTGAAATCCATATTTAAATGATGACCTGGTTGATTGTAACTCAACTGATTGATTGATCCATCCTCTGCTGGCTTTAAACCCCTGTTGTACCTACAGAGATTTAAGGTTTATCTTAGTATCTGTGTATCTGACCTAGCCATGGCTCACAAGGCATGATCTAGACATGGCTCACAAGGCCTATGATCTAGACATGGCTCACAAGGCATATGATCTAGACATGGCTCACAAGGCCTATGATCTAGACATGGCTCACAAGGCCTATGATCTAGACATGGCTCACAAGGCTTATGATCTAGACATGGCTCACAAGGCATAGTTTAGAAAAGCTTGAGCTCTACACTATATGCTTTTAGCTAATGTTCAGTTGGCTTTACAAGGCCTTAAGCATTATCCATTTTTAAAAAAAGCTTTTATAGGTCTAGCGGTCAGGACCCTAGTCAGATGCAATATATATATATGTGATGTGGCATGTGGCCAGCGGGTGCGCCACCCCTGATTTAGACTGTGTATTTGAGATCACTTAAAGGCGTGGGATCATTATATAAAATAAAAATGCAATCATTTAAATCTTGGATCCCCCCCCCCCCATATTATTTTTAACTTTCCAGAAAGACAGAAATAAATAAGCATTGCATGACTTCATACTGTGTATTTGAGAACACTTAAAGGCGTGGGATCCATATATAAAATAAAAATGCAATCATTTAAATCTTGGATCCCCCCCCCCCCCATATTATTTTTAACTTTCCAGAAAGACAGAAATAAATAAGCATTGCATGACTTCAGCTTTAATCCCATTGTTACAGATTCCCTCCTTGATATTTCTGTAGATGGCAATGGGGGCAAGGTTGAGAAGAAACAGATGATCTTTGGCATCGCCACCAGGATCGACCTCTTGAACTTCATCACGTCCAAGGACAGCCCAGAGTTGTGATGACAAAGATTCGAGACACAGCAGCGGCTGGAATCTTATATCAAGACAATTGATCTACACCAGGGCATTTTTTTTTTGTTTACATCAGGACATATTATTCTTTACAACATGACAAAGTTGTTTTTTTTTTAGTCCGGAAATTAGTTTTATTCTTTTACTCCAGGACATTTTATTCTCTTTCTCAAGGATAGATGGTTTTACACTTGAAATGATGATAAAAGCAACACAGTAATATTAGACAAGTTTTTAGACCTGGGAAGACGTCCGTTTATTGTTGCACCATAAAACATGGAGAATGTTTTGCACATGTTTTGTTATTTTTTTTCTTGACCAAAACAATAATGATCTTTTTCTTTGAATTTTTATTAGCAGTTTGCAGTGCCTCAAGATAAATTCTAGAAGATTTAGTACTGTATAATAGTTTGTTTTTGTTAACCTAATTAATTAGAACGTGAGTCTCAACTATTGATTTCCAATGCCAAAATTGAGGTTCTGAAACCCATCAATAAAAAAAAAATAAAAAAATGAGTGGCCTAGTTAAATTATTTTAAACAAATGCCTGCTGTTCAGAATTGTGTGTGCCGCTATGGTGGCCTTATTATTTAATGTCATATTTGTTTAGATTAAAAACTATAAAATGTTGTGTTTGTGTGACTTTGTAAAGATATCAATAAATGTTACAGCCAGTGCTCAGTCATTTTGAACATGATGAAGTATATAATTTCTGATGACTATTTGCTAAATTTCAATGAATCTGTCAATCAATGAATCTCAGATCGAATTAACCAATTATTTGATGAAATTTTAATGATTTTTTGGGGGGACCACGTATAATTTCCCATCCTATTTTTTTAATTTGTACTTTAGACCGTTCATTTATTATTTGTGGCTCTGATTCACCATTACGGCATAAAATATAATTTTTGTTGTTGCTTTTTTGAACATTTTAGAGGTTTAATTTTGTCAGAAGCTTATGTTTTGATAAGGCCGGTCATATTTTCATTTGCAACACTGTCAGCATAATGAATTTAGCTTGGCTGTCATATTTTTGTTTGAGTTTAAAAGCAATGAAGGATTGAGGGGGCCAGTGAAAGGGTAGAAAAATTCAAACACTTTACTTAAATCTTTTTTTTTTAAACGCTAGAACAAACAACATACATTTCTTGAGCTTGTTCAGTCTTGTGAATCTGTGGCAGCTTTAGGATGGTGGGAGAAATGTGACAGAATGGGTGCACCATAAATTACCAGCATCATATGGGAAGCAGAATTAAAATAAAATAAAATTTGATTGGTTTAAGGGGGGGGGGGGGTGTATTCCGTAGATTTGGCACTATCCAGAATAGTGGCCAGGGTCATGCTGATTATGTTCAAAATTTTAAAAATAACTTCATACTTTCTTTTATTGAGGTTCTTGTCTTAGGGGTCGTTTGCAAATTACGT